GAAAATGTCAAAAGTTAACATATGATATGTCATTCTTTTCAGAGTGTCATTTTCTATCGAATAAAGTAACAAAATACCGAGGGTGCCATTTAAAAATTAAAAGTTGTGGTAATTTCCGGTGAAACAGGAAGTGACCGAAACAATTGAATACGTCAATCAATCCTAATTTATGTCATATACTAATATACCAAATCTCAATTTTTTGTCTGAAAAAAATAAAAAAGTTATAGAGGTGAGCCACTTTTGAGACGCACCCGGTATAGGTATATTTTGAAAATACGCATTTCAATCCATTTTATATTTTGCATCAATTAGGATGTTAGACTGTTTCTAATAGTATTCGTGTGGTGTTAACTAATTAGCAAGTGAAAATTAAAAAGTGAGAGTTGAGACTGCTACTGACTGAGGTGCTAAACAGTAGCAAAAATTGAAACTAAAAGAATTTCGAACTTTCATTGTCTTGATTTATTTTAACATGCACAAAGTTTCGATCAAATGTTTCACTGACTGTTGTCAAGTCATAATACCGGATTTACCCATCTCTACCCTGTACACAACATAATTTGTTCATTTTATAATTGAAAATGAACAAAATTTCTTAATTTTAGGGTTTTACAGTATTATAGTAGGTCTAACCGGTCCCTACACTGCGACCTTAAAGATCTATTGTGCCCCCCTTCCTTGAGTCATCACACAGTCTATAACCCATCATACCCCTGTTGTAGAGGGGACAGGGTATTTCCCATCCTCCTCTGATAACAGTTCTTCCTCCTAGGGTACACACCCTTCTACGGTTGAAGTTTGGCCCTCCGTGCCGCCCTTCACAGTGGAGGAGCTTGCCTCCGGCTGAGGAACCTGTGAGGTGGAGGCTGGAGGATCTGTCTCTGGTTTCTCCACCTCTTTAACTTGGTCTCTCCTTAGACCTGATACCGGTGTTGCCCCGTATCTATAATAGAGGATATGTCCCTCTTTCTCTATTGCCTCCTTGGATTTGAGGTCAGTTCTTATTGTGAGGACCTAACCATGACCCTCCTCCGTCGAGTTGATGACTCGCCAACTCGATGTCCTTACATTGAAGTTCGGACCCTGGATAAGGCTCAGCAGGTAGGTGGTGTCTTTCCCCTTGCTCCTCGGCAGAAAGACCGTGATGGCCGCCCCTTTAGAGATATTTTCTCCCTTCACTGCAACCAGTTCTCTGGAGCTCTTTTCAAATTAAAGGTTATAAAAACAGGTTTGATTTAAAAAAACATTTGAGATTAATTGTCAGCAGTGGTTTACTAATAAACAAATTTGCCTAACGGACAAAAAAATGCTTAACTTTAAGTTTCCGTAAATGCCGTCGTCGGAAGCAAAAAAACAATGAACAAAGAAAAAAATATACACAAAAAGATCTTACAAAGACTGCAGAGTTAGACAGTAGCGGAAATGTAACGCAGCTAAAGCTTTTCATATTGATTAAAACTGTAAGTGACTGTAGTTACTGAGATAAATAATGTTTTAAAAAACATTGTTTTAAAATTAAGAACTGGTTAGATCTGGTGAGATGTTTACTCTTTCAATAGATTTTCAGAAATATTTAGTTCGTTAATTGGTATATCTGTTTTATTTTTTTGTTCCACTCTGTAAGTGACACTACTAATATTTTAATGTCACTTATTAACTACATGTTTTTCTTCATTTTTAATTTAATATATTTGTTTTATACCTTTACTTTATAAATGTTTTGCGGCGGTGTAATTTTACTATATTTTGATTTGAATTATAGGTAGGTGTTTCTTATTAGTTTAGATTTTTTTTAATTGAATTCTACTAATAAAAAAATCCACAAAATGGATCGACAAATGTGGACAGATATAACATTCTTTCGGAATGGACTAACCTGGTATACAGACGGGTCAAAGACCGCTGAAGGAGCAGGAGCTGGAGTATTTGGGGAAAGACCAAGGGCAAGCTTATCCTTTTCGTTGGGTAAACACTCAACCGTATTCCAGACAGAAATCTTCGCTATTCTACAATGTGCGAAAGAAAACACTAGAAGAGCTTATTCAGGTAAGCTCATCAATATATGCTCAGACAGTCAGGCGGCACTTGGGGCGCTTATGAGTCCAAAGGTATCGTCGAGACTCGTCTGGGAATGCCTGGGTGAACTGGGAGCTCTGGCACAAAGGAACAGAATTAAATTATTCTGTGTGCCGGGCCACAGCGACCGATCCAAGGCAACGAAAAAGCCGATAAGCTAGCTAGGCAGGGATCATCTCGGCATCCTATCTTGGTCCAGAGCCAGTACTGGGAATACCCAAATGTATGGCCCGTAGTGCATTGAAACTCTGGATGAGGGAAAAGCAGAATGTCCATTGGAGAAGCAGACAGGGACACAAGCACTGCAAGGCTTTTATCCAAGGACCTAGCTCTAAGACCGCAAAAGAACTGCTAATGCTTAGCAGGAATACATTGCGGATTACAACAGGCCTCTTGACAGGACACATGCCTGTCAAGTGTTACCTGAACAAGCTCAATCTGTATCAAGGAAGTCTTCGCTGCAGACTCTGCGATAAAGATCCTGAAACAGCGGAGCACATAATATGTCATTGCGAGGCCCTGCCACTTTTTAAGCTTAGGTGCGATTTCCACCAACCAATTCGCCGATTCTTGAGATACACAATCTATGAGGATCATGCCCACCCAAAAGTGTATCCCCGCAAAACGCAGCTGATCCACATTTTGTAGATCGTTGTGTTGCGATTCGATCGCCACGACTTCGTCCAGTATAGCCTCTTCTAGAGACCTTTGCTGGTCGGTGGTCAGAGCAACATCTGGGAAATCCTTTGGCACCACAGCCATTTTCACTTGTCCAGCAATAGCGGCAAAGCTGGTGATACGTCCCTGCTTACCTCCCGGTGTTGGACGGCTTTCCATCCTGGCTTTTTTCTCTCCCTGCTGAAGAAGAGGTGAGAGGTTCTCGCTCCCTCTCTTGCCCGTTGATGGAGATGAGTCAGGTTGTTTCTTGGTTTCTTTACTCTCCCCTTTTCGGAGGGGGGTTTTCGCTTTTGCTTCCTCTGGAGCAAGTCCTTCGTGGAGCAGTCGGAGGTATCTCCGTGCTTCTGCTCCGCTAAGACCTATACTCTCAGAGGATCATCTAGCCCGCCTGGTTGACCCAGGCCGGGTAGACGAAACGGTAGCTTGTGTCGCTTATTGCGTCTAGAGGTAGGCTCTCGACCCTTGCTGGAGAAGGTGGTAGCTTGTGTGTCACTTGTGGAGGATGTTCTCAAGCAAGTGTCAGCCGCCCCTCTTGTAGTTTCCTTTGGATTTAAAAAAATATATATACATACAGGGAAAGAACTTGATAACCACCAGCCGTCCAGTGCTTTCCTGTAAAATTAGTAAAATAGGGCTTATCATCGATATATTCAAAGTACGAATTCGAAAAAAACAATTATAAATAAGTAAATAATAAAAAAATTCACGTGGCGCGGATTTTATAGGTGACTCGGTACAAAGGGTAAAATAAATTGATTGTCTGATGATTAAAAAATAATGTCAGAAAATTAATAAACAGCTAATAAAATTATTAATTTACAACAAAAGCTTTCTACGACCTAAAAACAATTTTACAAATATACAGTTAGTCGGAAAGAAACTATTCGGCGACTAAACGATTGTCCTCAATTTATTTTTGCATCAATAATTTCGGATTTTGGCCAGAGAGATTTTAGCAACTAAAAAATACATTGAATTAATATATAGATTCGTGATCAATGAATCGATATATTACTAAGAAAGAATTTCTAATTTGTTTCGCATGGACAGAAAAAAATAATGAGATTTCTTCAGCACATCTTACTTTGTAACAACTCAATTTATTAAACATTTATTATAACGGTATACCGGGTGCGTCTCAAAAGTAAATAACTTTTCTATTTTTTCTAATAAAAAACGAGATTTGGCATGTTAGTATGTGACATAAATTAGGATTGATTGATATATTCAATACTTTTCGGCCACTTCCTGTTTCACCGGAAATGACTACAACTTTTGATTTTTAAATGGCACCTTCCGTATTTTTTTACTTTATTCGATAGAAAATGACAGGGGTGAGCAACTTTTGAGACGCACCCGGTATAAGCCCATTAAGAAGATGTACTCACGGTAATGGTAGGTTAGACATTTATGGAGAACCGGTGATTTTTTGTGAGAAGGGATATTTTTGAAATTTTTACATAAAAGCACTTGCTCCAGCAAAATAAAACACTAATTTACACCTTGCTTTTGTACTGGACGCGTGGTTTTTTAACCATGTTAGCATCATCAGCAGATGATTAAAACTAAACTAATAGCTACAAATTGAGCGTTTATATAGGCGATCAGTTGGCACTGACCAAGCGAATCAAAACCAACCGAGTGTAACAATTATCGATGCAAATATTTTCCTAGAAATGGATTATTATCTCTCACCATATTATCTTTACATTTTTAATTTTTACGCTTAACTATACTGGGTGAGTCTTAAATGAGAGCAAATATTTCTAGGGCAGGTAGATCTCGATAAAAGAAACATATTTTCTCTTTACCGTTTTTCAAATCAGTCCAAAATAACCGAGTTATTTTACTTTGAAAATTTCCAAAAAAATATATTTTTTGCTTATATTTTGAGAACCACTAGATCTTCTCTGGGTATTATTTCTTGTAAATTTAATCTACTACCTATATTTCAATATTATCAAGAAATTAAATTTTTTAATTAAAAACTAAAAAAAATTCCAAATTTTTTTTCACAAAATTCAAAATTTTCAAAAAATTTTTTTTCGCGAAAAACCTTATCGTGTTTATGGGCTCGAAATATATGTCCCTACTACCCCTAAAAATATTTGCATTTATATAAGATTCACCCTGTACAATCCATTTGATTATTATTTATTTATTTGACAACAACTGTCAGTTCTTGTCAAACTATGTTCAAGTCATTAGAATGTCAATTGATTTTCGAATTTTTTTTGTTGCAGGCGGACACAATAATGAAAGGTAAACATTTTCGCATGGATTGGTGACCCGAGAAGGAGGAGATCGAAAATCGCGTTCTTCCAAGTCGACGAAAGGAAATTAGAAGCCCGGCACAATCGAGAAAACTGCGAAAAATCTTAGTTTTCCATTGATCGAGAAAAGTTGGTTGTGGTCTTCGCAGCTAAACTCAACTCTTTTAAATCGCCTTTCGTATCGATTTCATTTTGGATAAATGCCGTTGGTAGGAAAGAGGAAGCAGGGCTGATACGTGTACAGGTGAGTGCAGGATTTTTTCTCTTAAGTAACTATAAAATTAAAAGACTGGCTAAACAACTCCCGGCCGGCGATATTGTTACTGTATGCAAAATACAAACTGGCTAAATTACCGCCGGCAGTATATACAATTATTATAGTAGCAGTATAGACAATTATTACAACCGCCCGCAGTATTGTTAAACTGCAAAATATTAGGCTATGTTAGCATTTCGGCGGTGTTTGTTGTTTAAACTACAGTATGCCGCCATTGGACAGCTTTTGTCTGCTAGGGTTAGTGCATACCGCCGTCAACCACAAGTTAATTCGATTTTCCACCGGTATTTACAGATACAGAAATATCATGCCGCCGGATGACGGTGTTTTTTTGTACGCACTGGCTAAACAACCGCCGGAGTATTGTTAAGCTGCAAAGATATCAGGCTATGTTAGCATTTCGGTGGTGTTTAATGTTTAAATTACGGTATACCGCCGTTGGACGGCTTTTGTTTGCCAGGTTAAGTGCATACCGCCATCAACGGCAAGTTAATTCGATTTTCCACCGGTATTTACAGATACAGAAATATCATGCCGCCGGATGACGGTGTTTTTTTGTACGTACTGGCTAAACAACCGCTGGAGTATTGTTAAGCTGCAAAGATATTAGGCTATGTTAGCATTTCGGTGGTGTTTAATGTTTAAATTACGGTATACCGCCGTTGGACGGCTTTTGTTTGCCAGGTTAAGTGCATACCGCCATCAACGGCAAGTTCATTCAATTTTCCGCCGGTATTTACAGATACAGAAATATCATGCCGCCGGATGACGGTGTTTTTTGTACGCACTGGCTAAACAACCGCCGGAGTATTGTTAAGCTGCAAAGATATTAGGCTATGTTAGCATTTCGGTGGTGTTTAATGTTTAAATTACGGTATACCGCCGTTGGACGGCTTTTGTTTGCCAGGTTAAGTGCATACCGCCATCAACGGCAAGTTCATTCAATTTTCCGCCGGTATTTACAGATACAGAAATATCATGCCGCCGGATGACGGTGTTTTTTTGTACGCACTGGCTAAACAACCGCCGGAGTATTGTTAAGCTGCAAAGATATTAGGCTATGTTAGCATTTCGGTGGTGTTTAATGTTTAAATTACGGTATACCGCCGTTGGACGGCTTTTGTTTGCCAGGTTAAGTGCATACCGCCATCAACGGCAAGTTCATTCAATTTTCCGCCGGTATTTGCAGATACAGAAATATCATGCCGCCGGATGACGGTGTTTTTTTGTACGCACTGGCTAAACAACCGCCGGAGTATTGTTAAGCTGCAAAGATATTAGGCTATGTTAGCATTTCGGTGGTGTTTAATGTTTAAATTACGGTATACCGCCGTTGGACGGCTTTTGTTTGCCAGGTTAAGTGCATACCGCCATCAACGGCAAGTTAATTCAATTTTCTACCGGTATTTACAGATATAGAAATGTCATGCCGCCGGATGACGGTATTTTTTGTACGCACTCACTAAACAACCGCCGGCAGTATTATTAAACTGCAAAGATATCAGGAAATATTAGCTTTTCAGCGGTGTTTGATGTTTAAATTACGGTATACCGCCGTTGGACGGCTTTTGTTTGCCAGGTTAAGTGCATACCGCCATCAACGGCAAGTTCATTCAATTTTCCGCCGGTATTTATAGATACAGAAATATCATGCCGCCGGATGACGGTGTTTTTTTGTACGCACTGGCTAAACAACCGCCTGAGTATTGTTAAGCTGCAAAGATATTAGGCTATGCTAGCATTTCGGTGGTGTTTAATGTTTAAATTACGGTATACCGCCGTTGGACGGCTTTTGTTTGCCAGGTTAAGTGCATACCGCCATCAACGGCAAGTTAATTCAATTTTCTACCGGTATTTACAGATATAGAAATGTCATGCCGCCGGATGACGGTATTTTTTGTACGCACTCACTAAACAACCGCCGGCAGTATTATTAAACTGCAAAGATATCAGGAAATATTAGCTTTTCAGCGGTGTTTGATGTTTAAATTACGGTATACCGCTGTTGGACGGCTTTTGTCTGCCAGGTTAAGTGCATACCGCCATCAACGGCAAGTTAATTAAATTTTCCGCCGGCAATTATAGATATAGAAATTTCATGCCGCCGGATGACGGTATTTTTTGTACGCACTGGCTAAACAATCGCCGGCAGTATTGTTAAACTGCAAAGATATTAGGCAATATTAGCTTTTGAGCGGTGTTTGATGTTTAAATTACGATATACCGAGAGGCTTTTATCTGCCAGGATAAGTGCAACCCGCCGTCAACGACAAGTTAATTCAATTTTCCGCCGGTATTTACAAATATAGAAATATCATGCCACCGGATGACGGTATTTTTTTGTACGCACTGGCTAAACAACCACTGGGAGTATTGTTAAACTGCAAAGATTACTATTAGGCTGTGTTAGCATTTCGGGGGTGTTGAATGTTTAAATTACGGTATATCGCCGTTGGGCTGCTTTTGTCTGTCAGGTTAAGTGCATACTGCCGTCAATTACAAGTTAATTCAATTTTCCACCGGCGTTTATAGATATATAAATAGCATGCCGCCGGATGACGGTATTTTTTTTGTACGCACTGGCTAAACAACCGCCGGATGTATTGTTAAAATGCAAATATATTAGGCTATGTTAGCATTTCGGCGGCGATTGATGTTTATATTACGGTATACCGCCGTTGGACGGGTTTTGTGTGCCAGGTTAAGTGCATACCGCCGTCAACGATAAATTAATTCAATTTTCCAACGGCGTTTACAGATATAGAAATATTATGCCGCCGGATGACGGATTTTTTCTACGCATTGTGTAAACAACCACCGCGGGCGGTATCGTTAGTGTATACAAAAAAATACCGTCTTCCGGCGGCATATTTTTATATCTATAAATGTCGGTGGAAAATTGAATTAATTTGACGTTGACGACGGTATACGCAGTATACACTTAATCTGGCAGACCAAGCCGTCGGCCCATCGCTTACTGCGTGTTTTGATTTGTATTTTCATTCGTTTTGTTTTTTAGTAGCATTTATTTTGTTTTATTTGTTGCATTTTATTATTCAGCGAAAAAAAATGCAATCAAAATTGGACACTCTGTACATTACACATTATCCACTTCGGGGATTAGTTTTATTTTAAATTACTAATCGATTATCGAATCACTGTTTAAGAGTGACTATTAATCAATACGGGCTGATATAGATAAATCAAAATGCATTAAGGTATATGTTACTATGTTACTATAAGTACTTAAGATTGAGTATACACTTCAGAAAATAACACTTTACGAGAGGATTGGCTTTGTAAACAAGAGCGGTTAAATCAAAATCAATTGATACTTCAGGTTACGCATAATTTGGTATGCCTTTAGAATTATCTTGATGACATCAGTGGCGGTTTGTCGTCAATAGGTTTGGTGCATTCCATGTGCATTCTCCACAGGTGCTGCCACCATCGGAGAATACTGTAAACAGCGGACTAAACAAATACACGAGTTTAAAATCGAATACACCAAAAATGTGTTATATAATTATCCCAAAAGTTTAGGAAGTATAATTTGTGAAAGTTCATAAAATAAAAATAAAAAAGTAAATATTTTGAAATTTACAGAAGACCTAACTTATAATTTATTTTTTGTGAAAGCATTTCGAAATTGACAGTTTTCAGATTCGAAAGGACATTCTTTTAGGCATTAGTATCTAAAAGTGACACTTGTTTAGGGACTAGTGCCTAAATGAAAAAAAAAATAAACGTTAGAAACAATGAATGAAATGCAATAAGGTTTGTGAATTTGCTAATATCTACATTTCTGTTCAGGTAAATCATGGTGCGGAGCATCGAATATTTACTCCACAGAATTGACGGCTTAAAGGTAGTGGATAACTTCAGGAAATAGGCTAGCAATACCTTTTCTGTGAAATTCTCAACATGTTTTTCTTTGACCCAGGTTTCAAAGTTGTTGTAGGTGGTCTTGTATAAGTTTTGCGACCTCTCGGTCATTAACGTGCAGTTTCAGCAGCTTGTTGAATATCCAAAGACTCGTCATTATCACTCATTTTTTCACCAAACTTTGTAGGAAATACCATGCCCTAGACACTCAATGGTAATTTTATAGAACTACAAATTTAGTTTCTTCCGCATCGCCAGATGACATTAAAGGCGCAAAAGACATTAAAGTACAGGTTTCTAATTTATATATGAAGATAACATGACAGTCTCTATGTTAACTACTGTTTATGGTCTAGTTTTTGTCTAGTTGACAAAATGTTGGTGATCCGTCAAGTTATTTTTAAATCATTATTTAAATAATTATTAATTCAGATATTCCTGATTTGTCAGAAAGTTCAGTGATTTCAGTGATTTGTGTTTATAGTTTGTGTTTTTATTAGTTTGTGCATTCTGATATTTACAGTCGATCATCATTTTCGTGTTAGATACTAAACATTTTTATTAAAGTCATTTTGACATTTTAGAAATAGTTTATATACCAAATAAAAAAATAGTTTAATCATAAATAAGTAAGTACATAGTTGGTAATATATAGTATTTTTAGTAACAGTTAATTAGTAGTCTATACTATTTTTACTATATTATAATTTAGTTGTTAAATCAAAAAAAATAGGTGCTATGTGATCTATTGTTAGTGTTTAAAATGTATGTATTCATAATTTTAATTTTGTTTTAATTATGTTACACTTCTAGTGATCTAATAAAATATAAAATGGCGGTAAAAAAGTCTATATTTATTATTTTATATTTTACAAGGAATAAGTTTGCGCTTGAATAACGTTACCGTTTTAATTAGCGTTTATAAGTAACGGAACGCTAAAATTGTGTTATGCCAAAACTCTCCTTTGGTTTCTTCCGAATCACCAGGTGGCTCTAAATGACGGACCCATTTGTTTTATATCAGTGTCCAATCTATCTCTAGTACGTGACATTAGTCTATGGGAAATACGGCGACGTTTGAATCTGACAGAACTTTGTCATTAAACAATGCATAAACAAAACAATGCCTTAGAAACAGATTACCAGAAAATTTTAAAATGTTTAAAAATAAATATAATAGCATGAAAATCTCAAATTATCCGCTTTCGCAAAAAATCTTGTATGAAATTCGTTGCGAAAAGAGTGTTTTAAGCACTCGGCGTATTGTCAATTTTGCGTCCCGTGCTTAAAACACATTCATTTCGCAACTTGTTACATAAATAGCTATTTTCAGGGTAATACAACTTTTTAGAGGAGTTCAAGTACGGTAGCTAGCATTGTTTTACGCATCGAAAGGTAGGTACATAATTATAATTTTAGCTCTTCGAGTTTCAGCCCCCCCTAGCTCACATAGGGTCCGAGTTACGACGCTCCAAAGACTAATGTCATCTTCCTCATCGGCTTACCACTTTTTCAATCGTTACCACTTTTCGTGGCGCATATCGTGACGCTAGCTCGTGTGTCACGGTCTTGAATTTTTATCCGCCAAGCGCGCGTAATAATGATTTTGGCACTTAGAACATTATTTACTTCAAGTCTTAAATTTATATAATACGTACTCTAATATACTAGTTCTTATCAGTGTTGACATATTTAGACAGTAATCTACTAGTACTAGGAAATGTAAAGGTAGCTTTGTAGATAGGAGTATATTTTTATATTGACAAGTCTAGTCATATTATTACTACATAATCTAGCCATTCGGTATTGGATTATTGGTGTAATTAACTTTAAAAGTCAGTATTAATTATTAATCAAAAATTATGTTAATATAAAAATCAAATTAATCGAAAAATGTGTCTATTGTGTATATTTTAAGCATTTTGTATTAAGTCTGTATTAATCTTCGGACTTCCTGGAATATCCTGGACTTCTTAGAATGTGAAACTTGACCCGTTTGTGTAAGTGTATTTTTTAACCCGTTATTACAATTCAAAATTTGGCGTGTTTCAAGTGTCTGGAAGTAATTTCATTTAAATTTTCGGCTTTTGTTCGAATTTCGGATAGTAACAATAATAATACTATGTATTTAGTCACCTAAATATTAATATCTTTTTAAAAGTATATATTATTTGCAAATTTCAATATTTGTCATAATATACATACATATATTTTTTTGTATTATTAATAATTAAACGCAATTTTATTCTTTAATATTGTAAGAATCTTACCATTTTGAATATCAATTTTAAGGTGGTAATTTATATTTTAATTGTCTATAAATTTCATTGTTATGTTATGTTAATATAAGCCTTTAATATCAATTTTTATGCATATTTCATTGTATATCATTACACATTTAATAGACAATTATTATATTAAATTTCAGATATCGAATGACTTTAGTTACAGAATTATTTTTTTATTTTTAAATACTATGAATAAAAGGATTACGGAAGGAGTATGCTATCCATGTATTCATAATTCATATTCATGCATTGGAGACGGAATCGCCATAACCAACCCTCATTTGTGACAATTCTGTTTGACGTTTCAATTGACAGATTTGAATTTGATTTGAAATTTTTATATTATTTATTATTTATATAACCGTACCAAACTATACCATAACGTAGCATCAATATAATTATTCAATATGATTACTATTTACCTATCGTGTGCTGATACTTTACAGATACTCCAGTTTTTGGTATCATATACAAGATAGTATACAAACTTTATTTGTGGCTAATACAACTCTCCATAATCTCTGGCAAACTGTGTGTGGGCACCGATTATTAATTGTAAACTATGGTCTGGATCAACACTTAATTTCCCCTTCGAGTTTTCCTCCACTTAATTTAAAAAAAACACGATACACATGTAATAACACAGTCCAAAATGCAAAATATTTATCATTTCTATTTGACATAATTTGACACAAAATTATAACCTATAATTTGGCAAGAGTTTGACAACTCTCAATAATGTTAAGTCAAGTTCATACGCATCGGCGTCCGTTTATCGTTCATCGTACCGTTAAACCAATAATATTGAAATATGACCTGTCATTTTTAAAATAAACCAATAAAACTGGTTAAAAACAACAAGAGATGACGCATGACGGATTAATACATAAGCCCATCCATAGTTAACTTAAAAATATTAGAAACTTTTTTTAGTGAAATAAATGGATTGGTATGGACGTCATCTGCTTTTTTTCTGTCATCGTCTGTCGAAATCTAAATATTTAAAGCAAAAAAATGGTAAAGAGATAATATAGTAAACGCCACGAATGTTTGGGAGTGATTCATCGCTTGATGAAGTTAGAATCGACACGCGATCTATCATTTTTACATTAAAAACGTAAATTTTTACCGCAGACGTAGGTTTTTAAAGGCCCGGTCTAATCATCTGCCTGCGCTCCTCCTACTTATTCTAAAATGTTAGCGCGATTGACAAAGACGATACTAAATCGCGTTTCTTTGATTGATTCGTTTTTGTGCGTCAGTCCATTGGTGTAATGTGCTTGCAGTGCGACCAATGGGGCATTCCAGTTTATATTTATAACCAAATATATGTTTTGACAAGACTTTGACAATTTGCTGGAATGCTCCATATTATTGATTATCAACAGACTATATATTGATTATTATATGACTTGAAACACCACGGCACTGGAATTAAGTTCTATATGACCTTGAACAGATTAGTTCACATGGTAGCGACCGATGAATCACTCCCAAATATTCGTGGCGTTTACTATACATTCCTTTTATCATGATCTACCAGCCCTGGAAATATCGATATTTTGAAATCTTCTGAATGCCAAACTTATATTATAATTTATTTTTTAACTTATAAACTTTCAACACTTATTTAAAACTCGCCCTGTATACCCTAAATTTACAGGCAGAATTATTTATGTTAGAAATATCTATAATATTTTTTTTTGTTTATTAAATTCCTGGCCAAAGCGTTCAGTGACGCCGCACCCGGTTTAAAAATTAAACAGGGGTTTATTTTAAGCGCAAAAGATATGGAATGATCCCACGCAGTTCATTTCGTATTCCTTGTAGATTAAGGGCAAGTATTTTCCTATTTTATTTTAATAAACGTGTTAATATTCTCATAGGCTTGTCCTGGGTTTGTTTTGCGTTAAAACAAAAAAAGGAAATCAGGTAAATTATTTATTAGTTTAAAATTTACGCACTGGCACTGGCTAAACCTCATCAAATCCAACCGCTGGCGCTGGCGGTATTGCTAGTGTATATAAAAAATATCGTCATCCGGCGGCATGATATCTGTAAATACGGATGGAAAATTGAATTATTAATTGGTCGTTGACGGCGGCATACTGTATTTTAAACATCAAATACCGCCGAAATGATAACATAACCTAAGATTTTTGCATTTTCATTTTTTGACTTGAATTGAGCTAAAACTTGTAAAATATTCAATTTTAAAAGTAAAATATAGGCCAAGATGTTCAAAATTCTGCGCCAAACTTTTTAAAATATACAATAACTTTTCTTTGTTTTTTTTTTTTAAATGGAACACCCTGTATATTATTTTTTCAGTAGATGGAAAATTAAAAAATCAACATTTTTGTATTTAACATATTTCAAACATTTTAACTGTTTTGTAGATATTCGCGGTTTTATATTTTATATGGCATTTTCCACAGTAAATTTTTATCAAAGCCACCCAATGATTTTTCTCTCATATTTTACCGTTGAAAGAGCCATTTGAAATAATACTGCGTGTATCTGCGAAACCATTAAAAATTTTGAAATGCTTTAAATATAAAAAAATTTCATTTTTAACTCTCCATCTAATAAAAAAATAATATACAGGGTGTTCCATTTAAAAAAAAAAGAAAAATTATTTTATATTTTAGAAAGTTTGGCGTAGAATTTTGAATTCCCTGTATGATTTAAGATTACGATATTTATAGCAAAGTATGTATAGACCGTCTAAAGTAAATACCTAATATAGTTTTGATTTCAGGACAGTTCTTGTATTAGTAAGATTTTTTTAAGGAATCTTGAAAAATATATTTTTTTTTCTATTTTTATCTTAAGATTATGTAAAGTGATCTGAAAGAAAGTCTTAAAAAAATGCAATAATATACAGGGTGTTACATTTATAAAAATCATCGCGATTCACTTACACTTTTTTGGGCCACCTTTATAAAAGTTAAAATATTTTTCTGTAATACATCGTCGTACATATTTTAGATTTGCACGTAAACAAAATTCCTAAGTTTTTTATTCTAGGAGCTACACATGCCCGACGCACTATTGCCGAACCCTGTATATAAATATATTACATAGTATATTTTTTTATACAATATGATCGAAAAAAAATGGCGATAGCTATGAAATGAAGATCGCGGTCATTTTTATGTAAAATTATGCCGGTTTTTTTTTCGAACACAAGGTATTTTCTCGTTATATTTACTTATTCTGGTACAATTAATTGTTATTTTTTTAAAACAATTTTTTATCCTTTTCAGAACTGACTCTATGGTTACTCAGGAATTCCCGTCTAGTTCCAGTAACGCGTCCAACGTTTCCATGGCGGCCTTTAGTTCCAGCGTGCCCGTCGTCAATTCGACGGTTCCAGGTTCCGTGGCGGATTTCTACAATGGGAAATCGGTCTTCATCACCGGCGGGACCGGTTTTATGGGAAAGGTTAGGAAATATTTTATTTAATAGGAGTAGTAGAAACGAGTTTTTATTTATCAACAATAACAATACGCAACAGTCGTTCCTTAATGAGAAATAACAGTTACGAAAATAACAGTATGATGACTGTACCGGATGAAGCTAGATTGTACGGGAGGGGGGAAGTTGAGTAGGAGGACATTATCTTCTTTGTCTAATTTGTAAAGCGATAGTTTTGTAAACTTATTTGGATTTTGAGCTGGAGAATACCAGACTACCCTTCAGCTATATCAAAAAGAAACAAGCTTCGGATTTTAGACTAAACCTAGTCTTTGTTTTGCACCAGAAGATCAAGATCAGTGTCGCTCATTTTATTGTACTTGTTATTTTTTACATCAACCAAAGTGAATTTTGTGGTGCAGAAATACAGATATTGCACCCCTACCGGTCGCAATTGGCGGAGTTTTATTTTCGTACCTGTTATTTTTTTGTAATAATTGTTGAGAACTTGGTAGAATTTCGTGGCGCCGCGATCCCGATCCGACATCAGTAGTTGTAACAGTCGTTGTAACAACTGTTATTTTTTACATATCATGTGCAACAACAACCATTGTGAATTTAGTGGCGCGGAGATACAGACATTACATCGCTATCTGTCGCAGTTGACGGACTGTTATTTTCATACCTATTATTTTTTGTAATAACTGTTGAGAGTTTGAATTTTGTGGCGCAGCGATCTCGACCCTACATCAGTAGCGTTCACAGTCGGAGGACTGATATTTTGTGCCTGTTATTTCTTACACCAACCGTTGTGAATTTTGTAGCGTGGATATACTATACAGTCACTGCACCGCTACCGGTTGCAGTTGGCGGATTCTTATTTTCGTACCTGTTATTTTTTAAATAATAATTATCCATCTGACATTGCATAGTAACCGGTCGTCCTCGACTAATTTTGTTATTTTCATATCGGTTATGTCTTGTAAGAAAATTGTTGCGACCTGTTGTGTATACATTACAACTTTAAACAGGGGGTTACATTACAAGCATATGTATATTTTTGCTTTGTCTAAAAATAAATATTCTTTATAGGTATTGCTGGAGAAATTACTAAGAAGTTGTCCGGGTGTTTCAAACATCTACCTTCTCATCAGGCCGAAGCGAGGGCAGGTGGCCCAAGAAAGATTACAGCAGCTACTTTCTTCACCGGTAAGATTAATATTTTAACTTTATTAGAGTGTTTTGAGGATATATTATTTAATATTATGTATTGATCTTTCTGTATATCTTACTTTGTATATCTGATGCTCGCGACCTTGTTCGTGATACATACCCCCGTGATACATACCCCCGTGATACATACCCCCGTGATACATAATATAATTAATACCTGTTTTTATTCTTTAACGTAGTTATAGCAATTTGCTGTAACTACTGAAGTTGCTCCCCTTTCAAAGCATTATTGTTGAGAAATCATTTTAACGCTATTCATATTTTTTATTCTGTATTGTTCATGCTTATGTCACCTTATGTTATAAAGATTACTTATATACGACCAGGATATCTTTCTTCCAGTAATTTTTTCACCTGCAATTTTGCAAACTAACTGAAAGTGTTGTTAACCTGGAATGGGAATCTAAAACTCGAAGGAACAACGATCTAAAACTCGAAGAAATTTCTTAGAACTTACGACCGAGAAAAATCAAATATTTTCCTTGATTTGAGTAAGGACAATCTTCGGATTGTCACGGGGTTTCTAATGGGACACTGTCTCCTCACCGAACTCCTCAGTAGATTGAAGCTTGTTAGTTTGTCTATGATTGAAGCTGAGAAATAACGGCGAATGCAGATTCTGTGGGGAAAATGGGAAAACAGCAGAAAACCTCATCACTGAGTGCGCCGAGACTACAAGGATTCGTGGCATAAATTTTGGTACGACTGATATCGGAGATGGAGAACTAACCTCTGTACTGGTTTTTGTAATATTGCTTTTGCTTAATTTTTAAGACCAAAATGAACTGATTACGATCAATTTGCAATTTTTTCAATTATCATTACTTTTTGATGTATTTTTTAATGTGACGAGATGGTTTTGGTGACCATTGTCGTAACGTCACATTACGCTGCGTTGCATACTCTATACTAAATTTTGAATAAATATTCGTAACGATAACAGAACTAACGATATTAAAGAAACATCGTAATACCAAGTAATACTCAACTATACAAGCAGAAAAAAAAACTTGTAAAAAATAACCTAATACTTTGTATTGCCCCTCCCTTGACTGCTACAACTGCCTGTATACGTCTGTTCATACTGTCATTGAGGCTGCATAGGTATATCATATTGCGTTATGGTTTCCCATTCTTCTTTAAGTACCAAGCGAAGTTTATTTAATGAAGCTGGTACCGCTTCACGACCTCTAAACCTCCTACCAAACATTTCCGAAACGTCGAACACGATGGGGAAGTTCATAGTAGTATATAGTTCACAATAATCACCAAAGCCGCCTTGTCATATTGAAAAATAAGTTTAAGCAAAACAAACTCTAAAAGAAATGATAATTGAAAAAACTGCAAATTGTTGATGGCAAGTTCATTTCGCTTTTAAAAATTAACCAAGGCATGTATTGACATGATCCAAAAAAAATGCTTAGGAGACATGGTTCTGATCGTAAAATTATATTTTAGGAAAATTTACGCCCGAAATTATTGCACAGGGTGTTTTAAAGTTTGGTGTTTAAGGTAAAAAAACAACCCCTCGTTTAACCCTGTATAATATGCCATATTCTACGTCAACTTTTATCTTTATATTCCTTTATTACGTATTGATTCCAAGACTTGATCTAAAGAGAATATCTGTCTCATCAGCGTATTTCATGCTGCATAGAAATAACTATATTAATTAAGCAACTCAAACTTTTACGTATATAAATACAATTAAATACTGCCAAAACGTTGGAAATGTGTCGGAAAGTTATCGACCAGGATATACGTGTGAATTGGAGAAAGTAAAACGGGCGGACGATATGTACGCGGAATCTCTGAAAAGTTACGGCTTGTTTGAATAGGCGATTCTTTATTGAAAACGACAATGGTTCGTCGGTTTATTTGTCTGCAAGTTTCACTCGCTTCTATTTACACTAAACGTTTACAATCTATTTAGATTAATCAGTTAAATGGACATTGTGTTTTATCTACGTTAAATGTGTAATAAAAGCTAGGGATATGATTTATAGGCAATGTTTTAAATTAAATGAAGTTTCTTTAAATTTGTATTTTTAATTTTTTGGTAATATTTTTTTTTTAATTAACTATACAGGATGAGTTTCCTACGATGTTCTCTATGGGTATCTCGGAAACTATACTGTAGATAGAAAGTCAGTTAAATGGGGAAAGAATTGCAGTTTTGTGGGGTCATAAATATGCGCCTTTCAGATTTTTGAAAAAGTTCATGGCTTACTAGATATTACGAAAAAATACAAATTTTGGCTATTTTAAAAATTGTCCCTGATACCATTATAATCTATTTTAGACAAAAAGTTTTCAGATAAAAGTTGTAGATAATCACATCCCTAATGAGTATGTGTTCTCCGATTTTTTCTAAAGCCTGTAATTTTTTACATATGACACAAACATATGTTTTTTTTAATGGAAACCATAGTTGGCCGTGACTTCATAAAAAGCGCCATTTATTAAGCTTTTCAGCGATATAAGCTATATGTTTTTTTTTTCAAAAAATTACTGATTTATAGCCAATTCTTATCTTTCTTGATTAATTTCACTTAGTTGGCATGGTGTTCTTATTCTGTTGTCATTTAAAACTTACGAAAAGACAAAATATATTATTAAACGTCTCTTTACAATTTACAATACACAAACTAAAACTTAAAAAAAATAATTTCACTACATATACTTTAAGTTATTTTAGCAAATGTTCAAAAGATCCGCCATTATTTTGAGTTTTGAGTATATAAATGCAACTTTTTAAAACTGAATTTCTATCTATTCCCACAGAACGACCGGTCGACTTAATTAAACTTCTCCTGTACCGCCTCTTCGAGTGCCTCTCTTAATTCATAAGTTCTTTTGTAAACCTTGTTGTTAATCATACCGCATAAAAAAATTGGCGCCGGGAGCCGCCCATACTAAAATATGTTAATGAAAAGTTGGTAGGCAGTTCTTTTAGTTTCAAAGTAAAGGAATTTTTCCAATTTTTTTTATCTCAAAAACTGCGACTTTGACTGATTTTGATGTTATTACAAATTTTGTTGCAAATATTATTCCTAATCTTAAATTGAAAATCGCGTTTCGCTAGCTACTGTAATTTTGGAGTTAGGATTTTTTTAAATTTTAACCCTCTCCCATACCCCCTTACCAACCCCCCACTCCCACCAAAAAAATGGCCAAATTCTCGGGTGCCACAGTATTTTTGTGCCAAATTTGGTTAAAATCGGTTTAGCGGTTTTTGAGTTATCATGTTACAGACGGACAGACGGACAGGCAGACACCATGCAAATTATCCATGTCATTTATGGCCCAAATAACTCATTTTGAGTGAAATTAAACAAACTTTTTTTTGACGATCTTAATAGCCTACCATACCTGTTGGTATGGTCGGCTAAAAATCTAAAATGGATAGGTCAGGTGATCGAGGAGGCCCATGCAATTGGTCCACGTCTTTCTATCCCTGAGTCTACATGATTAAGATATAAATAATCTTTAACATTTCTTTCATTGTGGCGGTGGGGGGGTGTTGTGTCATAATGAGAGTCATGTTCCTATATTTTTTATTAATTTAGTCCTATAAATTCTAGTATTGTATATAATTCGAACATGTCTCCATAGCGCAGTGCGTAGAGTTTCCGACAACGAACCGAAGATTCAGAGTTCAAATCCGGGTCAGGTCAAAGACTTTTTTAATTTATTTTCGTTTATATTCTGATAGTAAAGTATTAAATAATTCTGATAATTAAAAAAAAACAAATATTTAATACTTTACTATCAGAATATAAACGAAAATAAATTTGACCTGACCCGGATTTGAACTTTGAATCTTCGGTTCGTGGTAGGAAACTCTACGCACTGCGCTATGGAGACATGTTCGATTTATATTCAATACTAGAATTTAAAGGTCTAATAAAAATATAGGATCTTCTTTCAATGCGCAGTAGGGAACGCAATGTTTACCGGCAGCCAGACGGGCCGCATGCTGTTCTAGAGAGCATAGTAAAAGATGTATGAAAGAGCCAGACGCCTTAAAATACTTGTTTTTCCGACGTTGCTAGCTCTCGTACTATTAAATCATGTATCTATATAGAAGGGGATTTTTATTTATTTATTGCTTTAGTTGAAATTTGACTTCGGTATTAGTTTTTGTGATTTGGATTCAGAATGATCAAATTAGACATTTAAAATAAAAAACGGCTAAAAAATGGGTTTATTAGACGAATTTAGAATTCCTTGAATGGGTTTATCCGATAAATCTTATCTCAATGAAATAAATAAACATAGGGGCGCCTTAAGCATATGAGTAACGTTAGTTTCTCACCATTTACATGATTAATAGGATAAAAACTCGACAACATTATTAGAGAGTACTAAATTTACTTACGATGTGTTAAGTTTGATTGAATATTTTACTTAGTTTATACCGTACACCATTTTCTATTTTTAACTATATAAAAATAATAAAAACATTTGCAATTCACAGTGATACAAATTGTGGTAGTTAATGCTTCATTCAGAACCTCAAAATTAGTGGAATAAATTAGCGACTTCAATTATACTTTATACTTAAGAGTTTACGAGTATTCACAATGTTTAAAAAATCCAATTAAAAGTAATAGAATATTCTAGGCTTAGCAGTCTTATCTTTATTAGGTTGAAAATACAGAACACCAAATCCATATCTTGATAGATCAAAGACCAAAATGACATTTTCAATTATAATTAGTGGAAACAGCTAAAGGTTTGTTAACTTTTTCTGCTACTTGAAAAGTACCACAGTTTTGTCTGTTCTGAATTGAAGTTTGAAGTTAGAGAAACAAACAACTACGTTAACTGTAACCACTAATTTGTTCTACCAATACCTCCCAACAAATTCAACAAAATCTAGAAAATCTCCTTGTTTAATTAACAAAACAAAATTTACCTTTTCTTAACGACATCGAAGTATGAAGTTGCCAGACATTACAGTAATACAATGT